TGAGCCGTTCTTAACTTGTGGTATTTTCAAAACCCCTCTTTACGCCTTGACTGGATTATTGTTTATCACTTCATCCGACTAAGCAATAATTGTCCTCAAATCTACATACCTTCCCGAGGAGTCTGTAACCATTCATTATGTTATAGCTTATATGAATTCTTCCAGTGTTTCTAAAGAGTAAATAGTTTCATGGATTCTTATAACTGACTGTAGCTATACACCTTCATGTAAGCGTGCCATATATTTACGAACCCAACCGCGAGTATAAAAATTTACTTTCAACAACTTCGTGAGGACTAAAAGCAACTTAAGTTGTTGAGAAAAATATTTCCCAACAAAAAGATTAAAAACATAAAAACTAACCGCAAACAAAGTTCGCAATTTTCCCTTGAAGAAACTTTCCGAAACAATACAATTTATATTTATGTGAACTGCCACTGCGGGGGCAGGAGGAGGAAATGTTTAAAAAATATGCAATGCAATTGGGTAGAAAATTACTTGACACAGTTTTATTTGGTTGGTTAAAACGATAATAACATTAAGGAAAATTACATTTAAAACTTATAACTAAAAAAAAAAAACCAAAAAAATAAAAAACTTAAAAACTGGAAAACTTTAATAAAAAAATAAAGGAAAACATATATAAATTTTAAAACAAGATCTAAGGTCATTCGGCGTTAAATGCGCTCCATTCAACTCGGTTCCGCTTCTGATGAGGCGCTTCCATACGTGCTCGAGTTTGTGGGATTTGCTGATGTGTTTCTGAATAAATTTTTATTTTAGTTGAAATTCATTTATTAAAAACTAAAAATATTTACGTTTTTATTTGATTGTATTTCGCAGGATCCAAATCATGCGACTGACGCCATGTTGCCATTTTGTGCCACATATCCTTTTTATTGCAGTATTTCTGTGTGAATGTGTGCGTGAAATATGAAATATATTATAACAAAATGGCGGAAATGTGAAATTTGTCACTTGTCGGACACACATATGAAATCTACTGTAAAATAAAAAATAAAAATAAAAATAAAAATCCAAAATGAAAAAAAAATTTTATATATATAAAATTTTTCTGAAATATGAAGTGGTTACCAAAAAAAAACAAAAAAATAAAAATAAAAAAACTTAAAAATATTGTGGGAATTAAAATAATTTTTAACTCACATTTTCATTAGTTAAAAGCAAGTCCATGGCTTACATATATTACAATAAAGTTTGTAATTTTAATCACTGTTAAGTTTTACATTTTTTATTTCTACTTTATTTCATTTTCTAAAATGTTTTAAAATTAATTAAAAATTTTTAAATTGATTGCAGCAAGTAAAGGTTTAGGAAATACTTCAGTTCATAGAAGTACCTGTAGAAAACGAAATATACTACGTTTTTCTGAAATACACAGTTCAAAAATAAATGAGAAAAATTTTGATACATAGTACCTACATCTGTAGCAGGTACAAATGGCAATGCTGAGATGGACATAACTTAATTTTTTATTTTTTTAAAAAAGAGATTTTCTACAAAAAATAGTGCTAAAACAAATCGTATGTTGTTAAATTGCACTTTAATTTATTATTAACCTGAGATGTAAACATTATTATTATTTTTTTTTTTTAAATTTTACAGAAGTTAACAACTGTGATATTTTTATTTAGTCTTAAGTTTGTTTTTTATATAAAACAAGTTATTATATATGAATAAAAATTTAAAAATACTACCTAAAGCCCGGGAAAATATAAAATACATAAGTAGTGACGTCGACACTAATATAAACATTCTAATATTATTATTACAATAATAGGCTATGAATGCACAGCGATCTATAACGTCTATAGTGTGCCTAAAAACCCAACTAAAACAAGTATAGACTATTTATGAATCTTGTAATTGCTGTGAGCATTAACATCATCAATATGATTTGGAACAAAGATCCAAGGTAGCAATTCTACGTTTTACCGCTAATGGGCTAATGGGGACAAGTACTGATGTTAACTTCTTTTCATAGCGGAATCGACAGGAATCACTTTCTACCACACAATTATTTTTGAAGTTATAATTGAGTCTACAGTTTCCTGTAAGTAGTTCAGTGAAGAGTTTGTTATCGTTTCTGCTAAAGTTAAGCATAGTGTCAACTTTTATGTATTCAGTATTCATAAATCTTTTAACTACAGCGTGCCTATTTAGGCTCACCAGTGCTCAAATATAGTTTGTTTTTCCCGTTTACATATTAAATTATTTGTAAAGCTATTTGTCACCCCGCAAAAGGGTTCTGGACCAATAAAAGGATAAAATGCACCCTTCTTTGTCAGAGATTCTGTTTTTCGTTAACCTCATACCTCTCATATCCCGGTCCCTATATTACCCCACATAAGAGTAATAGAGTTCCTCGATGATAGAGTATTGAGAAGTTGAAAGAGCATATTGTCGTGTTTTAATTTTTTTTTTAGTTTGATTCAACTTTGGGTCGACTCTTCTTATGTTGTATTTTCAGGTTACGTAGCCCTAAGTTGTGTCTTTGTTAACTTTTCTGCTCCTGTTAGGTATGTTTTCAATGCTATTATTCAGCTTTTTGTTGCCTAATATAGGTATTAACAAACATGTGTGTATGTCATGTGAAGTCTTAACCTCATAACATAAGAAAGAATATATTTTCGTGTTTTGGTTTTTGCAACTCCGGAGCAAGGGTACTTGTTAGGTATTTCTAGATTTTACGGTTCTCAATTATCACTTCATTAACTCTTCTGACCCTGTATTTTACGTTTTTAATAGTATTGTTTTAGGTTTATCATATCTACGTTCTGATCTGAATAATAACAAACATATACGAGTATACATGACAAGTTAAGGTCATCAAAAGTTTATCAGGAATACATAAATTAGTCAGTGAGATGGGCAGGACTCTGAAGATTCCCCCCAGCTGTCATAGAGTAAAAGTGCCCAGATGCACTAACTCGGAAAAGGCTTAACATATATATATATATGGAAAAAGCAATAGTTAATTATAGAGAAGTGAATTGATTTCTGACCAATCTTACACGAACCAATCTTAAAATTTTATTATTGTGCTAAATTAAATGATTTGTATGGAAAAAGTAATTTTTGATCATAGAGAAAAGAATTGACTTATACTTCACAACTCAAACTAACTAGAGTACACTGACATTTAATAATATTATATTTGCAGAACAATTGCCTTATAGCACAGACGACTAGATGTTAGACGACTCTACCATCCAACTGCTTATCTACTGTCATTCTTCTCAACACAGTTCCACATTAATCCTCAGAATTTTTCCACTGTAAATACAGAGCAACAATATAGCTAAAACACTGTGTGTCCTCTCGCTCTCGCTAATATGTGTGTATACATATATCACAGAGATAATTATAATGTTTCCATTTTTTTTTTAATTTTATTTCAAATTGTTTATCAAATTATCATGTGCTAACTTACCTTTGTGCGCATAATTTGAAATGTTATAAAAAATAAATTATTTTTTTTATTAATTACTAATTGCTTTATTCTAAAATAATGTACTTAATTACATTTCAATAATAATTTTTTCTCACTTATGATTATTTCAACATAATCGCTTATCTTAATTTCTACTGTACTTGATTTTTACAATTTTTTGCCTTTTGCATTTTTATTTCGTGTAAATATTTTTGTTCAATTATTTGCTGAATTATTATTATTTCGTATAATTTTTTTAATTTCATTTCAATAAATTTTATTATTGATATATATTATTTATTTTAAATTTATTACATTTTTTTTTGTTTCTGCACATTTTTGTGTTGCAATTTTAATAACGCAAATTGGAATATTTTTTTTTCTAATCTCAAATAAAAATCAAAAATTAATTTTTGTGCTATAAAAACATTTTATATTCGCATATTTTCACTATTTTCATCCTAATATTATTTTCATCCTAATTATGTGACATTGTACTTAAACCACAATATTTTGTTTTCATAATTTTTTCACTAAATTAAATTATTTTTATTTCCACGTGACATTATCAAAAAGATTAATTAGCCTTCCGACTGGAATAGCAAAGGGGGCAGTTTAAATTTTCATTATTGGAGTTTTATTAAAATTAATAATAATTTTTTTAATTTTCAGTCACGTGACATGACTAAAATTTACTTAAATACATAATTAGATATTTTTTTTTAATAATATATAAACAATTTTCATAATATTAAAACAATAAAATTATTGAAAAATTGGCATTTAAAAATCATGGAATTAAAAGAATTTAAGAGGATTAATTAGAATGACTTGGAAAAATTTTATTAAAATATTAGATTCATTCACGTTACTTGCTAGTAAAGATAGCTTGATTTAAATTAAAAAAAAAAAACCAATATTTCTCTGGACATTGCAAAAGAGGATAAGATATCTATTGTCTATTGAGAGTAAGAAAGTATTGTTTTTTGACGCCACTACGCCAAATACTAGAGTTCATAAAATTAAATATGATTTAATGTATATATGCTACCACATAATACATAAACTATATAATATGCATATATAATGAATTTAGCATATAATATAAAGTACATAGTATAAATTATATATAGATATGATTTATAATATATATAAAACCACTGACAAAGAATTATGTACTGCACATCAATTAATTATTTGATAAGATAGGACAACGCTTGAAATAACTAAATACACCTTTTTCTGCATAAAACCTACACAGAAGGGTTAAAGTCCTCCTACATAAATCTAAAAAGAACTGTTAGGAAAATAGCAGGAATAGTAAGAGTTTTTAAGAGATGAAAGTACTTTTAAGCATCTTGACTGTGTCCTACTTATATAAAACACTTCTGTTATAAAGTTAGTAATAGTCAGTTGAAAGTAAGTATTAATTAATAAATAATAATCATTAAATTATAATGTTTTTCAGAATTTTTAAGATTTTCCAAGACATTCTTTCAATGAACTTTAACTTAAATCTTAAAAACTAATAAAAAATAATCCTATTTAATATATTTTGGTTTTTGTTATACATTAAACCTTCGTACAGCTTATAAATCTACCATTTAATTAAATTTTTTTCACAATTTTTTTTTCAACACAATTTGCAACGAGATATTTTTCCCCAATTACAAAAATAACTCCCTCACACTCTATTTAGAATCTGCTTCGTTTATTATAATCTGTCCCTCTACACATGCGACAGAGAATCGCTACAAATAAAGTCATCATTAAACTTAAACCAATTGTTATAAGTAATATTTTAAAATATGGCAGCTCTGTTAGTTCCCGTTTTAAACAAATTTCTGGCGATTCATCATGCAACACCATTTCTTTATAGTGTTTCGCATGTTTCAGCAGGCCGAGCTGTTCCAAATTCCACTCAATGTGTCGCGTTAGTTGAGCCATCGTTGATGAGTGCGTCACATTCGGACAATTCTCAATGCCGTTGCAAAGTAAATGCCGCGGTATACAGACGTCTGTGTTGCCAGGACATCTAAAATCACAGCCAGCATCTTGCAACAGTGACGAGGCTAGACTACCGTCGGGATTTCGCGGTAAATGGAACAGCTCGGTCCATACTAAACGGAAAGCATTTTTACCAGGTTGACCGTCACCCGTATATTGTATTAAAACTGGCAGTGGTTCTGAATCAGCTTCTAATGCACCTAAATCTGATACTGAGAGTATAGGTAAATCACGTGCTAATGATATATTTTCAGGACAAACAATAAAACGTGGTTCTAAGCGTCCAGCTAAATAGACTTCAATTTTAGCGCTCTCACATGTACGATCACCAAAACGTGCCTTCTCCAAATGTAACCAAATATCGCGCTGTGCTGCCACTTTCAATTCCCAAATACACTTTTCGCGACGGTAATGATGTTCAGCTGGCGCCATTGGACCAGTTACCATGGCCAAAGCTTTTTTCAATGGAAATACTAGTTCACCATCTGGTGCGGGTCCTAATGTTATAGGGCCACAGAGCGGTCCATGCGCAAATTCATACGACGCCTCGAAAAGTGGATTGGGATTTTTAAAGTAAGAAGTTATTGCATGTTGGCCTTGTACGATCATTTCGAGATTCATTTGTTCAGCGGATGATATTACACGTACCGTACGTGGTATATTGTCGCAGAAGCAAGCTAAATTATTTTGAAATTTATCACGCTCTTCCCATATGACCAATTTATCAACACGTTCTTCATGGCAGCGTGTACAAGCATTATTGTTGTAAGGCAATTCTTTAAATGATACCGAAGAGACTTCAATGATGGCACGTGCGTATAGACGACGATCGGTAACAAATTTATATTGACAACGCACATCTGAGCCACCAGTACGTTTAAATATCAATGAATTCATAGGTGAACGTATTTTACCACCAGGATGCTTCCAAGCATACATGACTTCATCGCAAAGTGTGTTAGGTACAGGATCGCCAAAACGTGTATTGTTGAAGAAGTCATAGTGCGCCCAATAATAAAGTGAACTGCCACTGTAAGAGCCCGTCTTGGATTCGAATTGTACGTAAAGTGAAGGACTTGTTGAAACAAAGTCAACTTTTTCCATGGGGCGTGAGAAGGTGTCACAAAATGTTTTTATTATACGCGCTGGATCGGGATGATCAGAGTCATAAATTGTCAACGATTCACCACAGTCGCCATCGTATTTCAGTATCGGTGATTCAATGCGATTAATGCGGAAGCTGTAAGAGGAGGAAGAAAATCATTAAACATATTTATAAATCAAAGTAGTTATCTTCTTTCTAGTACGAGTATATAAGGTGTGAAGGCTTTAAAAATTTTTTCTTGTTATAAATTTCTGCTTAAAAATATTGCCGTAAAAATTGCTATATTATATAAACTTCTTATATAACAAAAAAATTAATATCATAAATAAATTTGTAAGTCTCTTAAAGCTTATTGCGGTTAAGAGTTACATTTTTCACCGCATATTATAGAAATACCATTTTCAAATCATGCCGTCTTCGCTGCTGACATATATTTAAATAAGATCTCATCCAAGTGTACGTTGGTTTATTGCTCCACAACCTTTACGGTCCAGTCTGGCATATTGCCAATACTCTCTAAACAATACCAATTTATCTTGAGGGAAATACCGTGGTTGCAGTAACAATTTTCCCTCGCATTTTTATAAAAAAAAAATCTAAAATATTTGGTTCGGATTAGAGCACTTGTGTGACTGGTGTACGAGGATAACAAACAACCAGGTAAATTCTGCTTTTTTCACTTCAGACAATTATTAAAACTGAAAATTTTTTTCGGCTGAATTGGAAAACGAATGACACTGCAAAACTTTTCCAGAATGCTGAAAAAATCTTCGAAAATTGCATAACGCAGTTGAAATTTTTGCAGTTGCATGGTACAACGGATAAAGCTGAATCATTACTAGGACCAATAAAGGTTAACGAAATTGCATTACGTTGTGAGTATACATGGTGTCAATAACATATTCCGGGTTAAAGTCTTAAATTATTGAACAAAATAAGTTGAAAAACTTAATTTTTTAAACATATATGAATGCAGATGTCCTTTGCTTATTTGGAAATGATGTTATTTTATATATCTCGGTTTAGAGGAGAATAGAATTTATATATATTTTAGTTCCTTGGTGCGAAGAACAGAAACCTGATCTACAACTAGATAATTAGACCAGCACTACTTTATGGCTGTGTCGCGTATAGCAAAACTGTTGACTCTACTATCAAGAAGCTACAAGTTCCTCAAAGTCAGGCTCTCCGAAGAATCTTCAAAGTGCCATGGTACATCCGCACGAATGACATGCTTAGAGATCTTAGAATAGTTTCGGTTAAAAAATACATAAGGGACAGAGCCCTGAAGCTATATGCGAAAACCGACATGCTGCCCTACTTAGCACTATCTCATTTCAGAGTAATTAACCGTACGAGGCGGTACGCAGATCTTAATTCAGTTATTGAATAATCACGAAACTTATGAGGAATACACAAATTAGTTAGTGAGATGGGTGGAATTCTATAGAAACCCCCCAGCTGTCAAAGAGTAAAACTGCCCAGATACACTAATTCGGAAAAGGCTCTACATTATAGTAGATCATATGCATGTATATACCATTACCTTTATCTAAATCTGTAAACATTTAGTAAACTGAGTTTTCGTTATCATAGCTACCATAAGTTCAACATATTCGTCTTAGCCGATCAGTCTTAACGAATAAGTCGTTTGCTATATTGTACTATATCACTTTTGCTTTTACATATCACATAACTGATCTAATAATTATCAATTTTTTTATGTAGTATATAGGTGTTTCTTTCAAATTACGCATAGTGTTGGAGAAACTTCTTACGGAGGAGCTTGTAAAAGATAGTGGTTTTAAATAATTGTTTCTAAGATTGAATAAAGTTCAGATCATAATAAACTATGCAATTCTGATGAAATTCGGTTTTCTATAGATTCGATCGTACCCATTAATAACTTTATCATATCGTACTGTTAACCATACTCACCATTAAATATGTGGGTAAGCAGATAAGAGAAGAAGGACTCTTAGAGTTTAAACTAAGTCGGTGTCGTTTCACTTGCACTTTAAACAGAAATACTATTATAGTCGAAACATACTCTAATATGACATCTACTATATAAAATGACATCTATTAAATAATTTTCTATTATTTAGGATCAGGAACAGAATTTCAAAGAAAAGAGTTTGTTAATGGAGCGCTACATAAAGGTGAATATTCGATTATCTGATGAAATAAGACTTTCAATAAATTACTGCTTTAGGTTTATTTTTCAGCACTGATAACAATTCATAGGTTAATGGTTCAATAATGGTATATCTCAATTCAGAAATTTGCTATCCAATCATTGAAAAATAATAAAAAACAATAATACATATAATGCTGTATTTTTTTTATACAGAAAAAAGCTTAAACTATTAGCACTTAAGAGTAGTTATAGGTCAATTGTATAAAGTAAAAAAAATTCTATGAATTATATATGAAATTGCACTTTAAAGCAGTTAACTGTTACTACCAAAATGTAATATACATTCTAGTAATAAATACAATAAATACAAATACAAAATCTATAAGATATATCTATATATATGTATATATCTATAAGTGTAATATATTGGAAATTAGTTCAAGTTCATATTACTCATCTTTTTAGATAGGCACTTTCGAATGGAGGCCACTTTAGCTAGAACTCAATAACGACGTCCGAAAATCGAAGAACGAAAAAGAACGCAAGTCATTAGGTGGTTTATTTCGGCTAGTCCTTCACTTCAGTGTGGTTACTTGATGGAAGGTGCGCTATCTCAGCGTCCCACAATATATACATTAGCAAAATATAAAACCAAACCTCGCTATTGATTCAACCTATATTTGTAGTGGCTTTCTCCATATTAATGAATATTTTTTTGAACGCTCTTTTATTGGAAGGTTATACGTCATATGCTTCACAATATTTATACTGAATAGCCAAACTCTCAAACTTGGCATTTGATCTTTTTATTGATCGAACACATATCGGTAGTGGATTTCTCCAAATTATTATTTTTTTATTATATTTTTTTAACGCCTTTTTTTGGAAGGTTTTATGCCTTACAAAGTTTATATTGTATACTCATATTCTCAAACTTGTTATTTGGCCTCACTATTGGTCAAACGTATATCTATCTGTAGGGAATTTCTCCAAATTATTAAATATTTCTTCAAATGCTCTCGTATGGCAAGACTGCTATCTCATATGTGTCCCAAAGTTTTTGCTGTATATTCATATTCTCAAACTTGAGTTTTAATCAGAGTGATGCTATATCGATTAAGCCAAACCTCACTAATCGCTAAGTAAATATCTACTATGTGAATGTTAATATTCTGTTCTATTAAGATATTAGGATCTGAATATATGTCTCTTTCAAATATTAACTTTTGTCATATTGTCTAATGATTTTTTTAAGTATTTCACTCACCTGAAATACCCTGTACCCTGTTAGGTACAAATATATCTTTCTACTTGTCAACATTCGCACACATATACGCGTATGCAGAATTCCATAACAATCAAATACTGAGGTGATCATTTCATTCGACGGATTCCTTTTTATAATAGTTTTTTTTCGCAATATAAACGAGTGTGCAGCACTTCTTTAATATACTTTGTCAGCATGCACAGGATATACAACTGGATTATAAGGACAAGCCATACGCCGCAGGTCATGGAGCTCAGTATCCGTACGCATTGGTTCGCCTGTTGGTTTGTGTGCATCTGCTGTGTTATGTGGAATGTGGAATGCACGTATTTGCCGTAAATACTGGGTACATATAATTTCATACTTTTTTGAAAGTAGAGCAAATAAAAATGAAATGAAATTGTGCCATTGAAGCGATTTTTTTTATTTGCTCCTTTTTATTTAGTTTTCATATTTTCAATAAAATTTGTGTCCTTTTGCTATACGAGTACGAGTACCATAGGCAAGTGAAATAATGGATGAAAAGTAACGAATAGACACACACTCTCAGGCAAGCGGAATAGCATATATTTTGATATATTTTATTAGGTTATGAAATGTGACTATAGAAAATCTGGTTAGGCCACAGAACATACCGGAGCTGCGGTTGCTTAGCTTAAGGATTACTTAATAAGCTTCCTAGTTATATAAAAATATTTTCCCTATTTTAGTAACCTTGCGGGTTTGTATTATTTTTGGATTTTTTATGTGAAACTTTTGCAAATGTAGGATTTATTTTAATAAAATTGAAAAGCCTTTCGAAATCTTTTATCTTAAAAAATCCAAAATAAGAGCCATAAGTAGAGTGAATAAACGGAATAATATTTTAATATGTACTTTGTACATGTTGAAGGTTGTGACATACGAGTCTTTATAATAAGACTATGAATATATGTAGTGAAATTTAATGGAATTATAAATACTTACAGTTATTAAAGAAAATTGAATTTTTAAATCTAACACTTGATTTTTATATACGTAATATTATTTAGGATTAAAATTCACATTTTTGATTTGGTTTAACTATAAAACTATAAAGGAGACCCTATGCTCCACTGGGAGATGAGGATAAAAGAGAGAGATAAAGCTGTGAAATGAACTATCAAGAGTGATTATGAATAGTATTTATGTTAAAGCATTTTGGTATGCCTGTTTATTGAATATTAGTATATTATTTTGAAAATTTGAAAATTAAATCTAATAATTTTAGAGTTTTATTTTATAAGATTACGAAGTATGAATATATATATAGGTTGAATTAAACGGTGTTCGTATAACAATACTGTTTACCACTAAATTAAACAGATGACTTGTTCTTACTACAACATCCATATATGAATAGAGTTGAGGTTATTAACAGGTTAGCATACAATAACATGTGTCTGTCCGAGATGACAAAATATTGGCCTTCGACAAAACCTTTAGTAGAAATTTTATTAATTGTCCAGCTTTGTGTTTTCCAGTTTGTTAATTGTCCAGTTCCAATATAAATTCTGGAACTTAAAGTAATTTAAGATTTCGTGCAGCTAAACGTGGTTGTAGCACATTGACAAAGTATTCCGCTCCATTTGGAACTATAACACTTTAGTACATCTACCTTATTCAAGAGATTTGGCCTGCGGCAACTTCTATCTGTTCAGTAACCTTAAAATCTTCTATGAAAAAACATATTTATTTGTACAATAAAGT